ACAGGAATGATAAGCACTTACAAGCCTCACAATGGGAGAAAAGGACTATAGCCAGTCAAGCTGTATCTACAGTAGGTCACCTTAGGACAGCCAGGTGAATGTGATACGAATCAGCGCTATATGCATTACACAACAAACACAGACTCTAAGTCATGTTCACTTTAACTTCAGCTAATACCAAACAAAAATCCATTTTATAAGTTAAGATATGCAGGATAACAGAAATCCATCAAGGGCTAGCATTAGACGGTAATGAGTTATTTGCAGAGTCTACTAGCTATAATGTACAATTAACCCTGGCTTGGGTGATTGAAAAGCAATGCGAAAGATAAACCTGGTAACCGTTAAGACTTATATTAGTCATTTCCAATCTTTTAAAGCAAAGCAAGACCAAACCTAAAGACACTGTTGCTTTGTGGTTTGGTACCACTTGTGTGGCATCCTTAAATCTGTGAGACCAGTTGCTGCTTTTATACATGTAATCCATGTTTCCTTTGCAAATATTCAGCTTTAAAGGCACATTTCATTACAATTATATTGCATAAATTCCTCACAAGATGTCGCTGGCTACAGCTGGCTGCTGATGATTCATGATAAGCCATCTGTGAAACCACTTTTCTGCATGTCTGATGGACTCAAAATCCACGGTCCATTAAATCAACTTGGGCTTTAACTTCTATCTTGAAAGCTTATGTTAAACATTCTTATACCTTTTCCTCCCCTGCAGTTCATATATATAAGGCGATTTGGGGAAAGAGTTGTCTATCCCTGGACAATAATATTTTGTCTCATAAAGGTCTAATATTTTATTTGTGCCTTAAATAATGTACCTTCTGTAAGAACCTGAACATGGTCTGGGACAGCTTTACTGGTTGTCTCGAATCTTTGGGTCCAACGACTGGGAGAATACTGGAGCTCCAATTCCTAAAAAAAAAGTGCTTATTGTAACATCTTATGATTAGATAGCAATAGGAATTAACTTATGATTTTTACCTTGTAATAGTCTTAACTAAAAGTGTAATGATAGAATTAAAAATGGAGTAGGGTCAGTGCAGGGGGGGAGGGGGGGGGTTTGATTGATTTGAGGTACATAATGGGGTGAGATTGCTTTTTTTCCATCTTCGAATCTGGGTAAAGACAGTGCCCCTAGCCACCCTTACCAACCTTCCCAGTCTTTGATTTTTAACATTTTTCATAATTCTAATCAGTAGTGACTTTGATCAATGTCTTTTCTATTAAAGGTATCCGATCAGGTATTTTCCACCAAGTTTATTTATTTTTTAAAGTGGTTTTTAAGGTTTGACTAGGGATAGAAAAATAGTTATGCATGATATGCAGACACAGGAAAAGTTCCAAATGCCCATAGCACACCTTTAAAAATAGTCTGACAATTAAACTTTTACAATAATCTTCAAACTAAAGGTACAAACCAGAGATATTGACCAAAATCAACACATGAATGAATTAAGAAAAACAGAAAAATCAAACACTTACTTGTGTACTTGGTACAGTTGGGTGGTAATACTGTATTTCAGATACCCAGACTGCATTTGGTCACATACTACATAAATATATGCCAGGTGTAGTTCATGGTAACTACCAATAGGTGGCACTGCAGTTCAGGTGCTGCTGGTTCTCTCTTGGCTCTCTGCTCCTCCAAGTACAGAGCACAACAGCAAACAATTGCAGCAAAAAGATCATATTTTTGATAAGTAAATGTTGTTTTGCTTTATGCAATCGTCTGTTCAACTCCCAACTCTTGTGAACATTTGGCTCTGTAGAAAACTCACATCGACCATTTACGGGCTTGTTCCCAACGAAACTATCATACAGTACTATGTAGATCGCTGAATGACATGCTTCCTTCTGACATTAAGTAGAAAACAGAAAAGTTGATGATTATACAAGTACCTTGGAAACAAAAGGAGGCCTGCTAATCTGTGAATTTGACTTTTAGCTTGGGGGGAAGGTTGCAAAAGCGCCCGATTATGTCCTCTGCTTTGCTGGTTGGTTTAGGTACAGGGAGGGGCAGGGCGGTGTGGGAATGTTACATAAGAATAGACGACCTGATCATTTCAAATCCCATAGAGTTGTAATATACTACGTTGTAACAGCTTGAAAAGACATGCTCAGATAAACATGATAAGCCTATATATATGTTCCTGTCCATTGTTATGCCACACTAGCTGCGACCATACATTAAGATAAATAATTTCATTTATTAATGGTCTACCCAAGGTGTTAGGATAATGAAGCTGGTTGACCTGCTTTGATCTCTTTGTTCAATACATGCCTGTGCTTAAGATGTCTATGAGTATGACACCTAAATTTGTTAATACAGGACACAATTCCGATATTTCATGGTCCATGTCAGCTTTACGTAAAATCGTAAAAGAAGACATAAGGACACATAATTACCAGTTTAACTGTTTATTTGTTGACGCTCGCTAACTACATGTTCTACGTGAAGTCTCTAACTTTGGAAACCTCTCCCATAACTCGCGTCATTCTGCTTAGCTCTCCCAAATCATCTCTCAGTCTCCTCTCTCATATACAGTATTAATTCTGAAAGCTTATATATCCAATTTCTTATCTTAGGTGGATCCATATGCTGCACTAGTGTGCGGTGCATACACATCTTAATTATTCAAATTGCACAAGAACACTTGCATTAAATAATTACGTGTAAGGCCATATAAGGAATCGAGTGCACAAGCAAGCAACTCCATTAAAATTAGTTTAAAATTAGTAGTAAGTCTAGGGGTTAGCTTTGTTTACTGAACAAAAAGCCTCAACAAATAAACCGTTAAACTGGTCATTATGTGTCCTTGGGTTTTCTACAAGTGACTTTATGTAGACCTGACATGAACCGTGGAATCTCGGATTGCATTATGTGCATTATAAAAAAGTTCTCATTACATAAGTACAGTACACCGTACAGTACATGTACAAATCAAATTACATGTACAAGGTGGTTATAACTACTACACTACGTCTACAGCAACATGTGTCACACTAATGCTACTACCATACACTACATGGGCGTGGTTCAAGGTACAATTTGTGAATATTTGACATTATGATACAAAAAATATGTAGGTAATTATTAGTTCGTACGAACCATGCTCACACAGGTGTGCACTTCATTGGTGCACCTACATGTAGTAATTACAGTACACGTAATTACAGTTAAATTCGGAGAGAATTAAAGAACAAACATTAGCGGTTTAGACACCTTTTCCCATGTTAACTAGCCGCTTATTGTTGCAAGAAAGTATTAAATCCACTCACTTCGAGATTCATCATTTTGTTTTGGTAGGTGAGCTGTTATCGTAAGAAACACGTGCACTGCGTTATTAGCCTTGCACCAGTTAACTGGAGTCAAGGCCTTAACTGGCCTTGACCCAGATTTACACTACCAACAAATTTTAGGCGAATCAGAAGTTTTGGACATAGTTTCGCCAAAAACATAAAAAGAATCAAACTCACGACAAATAATTTCACTAAAGTTAAAATATTCTATCATTATATTATACTTCATGTTTCAGGTGATTAATTGTAATCTGACAGAGATTTTTTAAACGAATCCCATATGTGATTTTGATGATTGGGTCTTTTTTGCCTCTGTGTGTGTGTGCGTGTGTGTGTGTGTGTGTTTGGTAGACAAGAATGGTTTTCTTTTTCTTTAGGTGCATTAACCAGGTTGATCAAGCAATGATCTGTGTGACTTTAGAGAATACGGAACCTATATATGCCACGTTGGGTCACTACATCTCGGTCAAACGGCGGTCACTAGGCCACGCACCGATCTTGTTCAGCTGCAAGCTGCATGTTAAAAGCGGCTAGTTTACTACTTATTGAATCTAACCAATGTTGGAAACAAGATTATTCGCTTACGCCAGAATAAATTTCCAGTATTAAATTCTATACTCGCATAGAGGATATATTTTCCGTGCAGTTAAAAAATTAACCCCCCAACCCTTTTAACAAACCAAGAAACAAGACACTTTATAATATTATACAATATCAATTTATTGCAAGAATAGAAATCAAAAATAACATTTATCTGTTCTCTTAACACATGTTCTAACATTTAAACAAACACTTTATAATCACCTAACATGGATATATATTATAACTTCAACAACTAAAAACAAAAAAGTTTATAGCTTCAAATCTTGTTGGGTTGTATGAAATGCCAAAGAATCATTTGCTTTCAGCTAAGTCTCCTTACTCAGCTTAATACTGCAGCTTTTATGATTAATCATGAAAAAATAAAATGAAATATCAAACAGAATATCAAATCATGATTCCATTATAATTGTTATATCTCTGCTAACAGCAGTCACTTCTTGTGCAAAAAAAATTACTATCCAAAATTTCAAGCACATCTCACATGGTTAAGGCTCAAGTCAAGACTTCACTCAGTCTATAGTCTGTATATAGTAGATAGCTGTACCCAGTAGCTTAGAACTGCATTTCAACAGTCACACATGCATAGATTAGAGATCGAGGGGAAGGTGATAGTCTGTGCAGTACAAATTTATATATACAGTTTATGTGTGCTGGATTGCAATCTTGTGTTCCTTTGGCTTGTCCTCGATCATGTTTTCAGGAACAGGTGCTTCCAGGGTCAGCATGCCGTCTGGACGAAGGGCAGAGGTCAAACTCTTCGGTTCAACGCCCTCTGGCAAAGTGAAAGTACGGGAGTACTGGCGGAAAAGGGATTTTCCGTCGCCGCTCTCTTCGTGCTTGGCCTCGACGGTGACTAGATTGCCTTTGGTTTTAACGTCCAGTTCCTCTGGCTTAAATTGATGAACATCAAAGACGTACTTCAATTTCTTCTTACCATCCTCTTCCACGATGGGGTAGTTTTGGAAGTGGTTTTCTTGCATTCCACGCACTTGCCCTGGGTAGTTTTGGAACATGTGATGGTACATTTGATGCATTTGGCGGTTCATGCGATCCATGTCACGACGCATTTCGGTCCAGGGATCTCGAACTGCCCTCTCTTCAACGAATGGCTCGAGCAAAAGCGGTAGCAAACTCATCTTGCTTCACGACAATTAACTGTGTAAGTACAGCAGTGGTAGTAGTAAATGGAGTGTTCGCTTGTATCGTCTCTCTCTCTCGGAGGCTTTCGTAAGCAAGTTGTCTTTGATCTGTGCAGCTGTCACGTTGCGACGCTTTTATACACTGCGACCAGCCTTCTAGAACCCGCGGAACGTACTGTTTTGACTTGACCCGAAACGACTCGAACACGCGTGGTAGACCTAGAACACTCTAGAAGCGTGAGGGGGATTCGACAAAGCGAAAGTTCCCGATGCAAAGACAGTTTAACAGGTTTGGTATATGTTTTTGACTGTAAGGAAATTCACAAAGAAATTTAGTATAATTAGACTTGTGATTTGAACTGATAAAATTGATTTAATAATTTATAGACATGAAACGGTGTATATTTTATAGCCTGTCACCCCTCCATCATCATAAACCCTTCTGGTGTTTCAAATCAATATATGATAATCAAACACAATGGGGGTGCACAAGAGATAAAATGGGGCAAAGTTACTTGCCATCTGCAATACTTTTTTTCCATATCCACTCACAGAGTGTATGTCAAAGAAAAAAGTAGGTGAAATTTAATGTTTGTTGGCAATGTTTTGACTGGACACGACTGACCTACTTTCCATAGTAATTTTGTTTTCATTACTGTTTCGTTTGATGGAACACTACAATTAGAGATGTGTTGAAACAAATCTTTTTGAAGAATGTTGGATTTTGTTATGCTTAATAAATTTGTCAATCATATGAACAATTTGTATTAAATGTGATAAAAGAAGTCTCGAAATATTTGTAGTTAACTAAACTTTATTGATTATTTAGCTTTGCATGTTTCATATGGAAGTGGCGGGGGAGTCTATTGAAAGTGTTTAGGGAGCATTTGCTGACTAACAAATATATTTCTAAGTGCAGAGAACGTGGTAAGAGCTTTATAGTCATTTCTTGACTGCATGCACGGTATTGGTCATGTTTCCCCCTCAAGTTATCGAAAAAGTGCAATCGGAAATATTTGACAATACAAATTAAGTGACAAATCCCGACAACTTTTACCACGTTCGGCTGTCGAGAGGACGCAGACTCTTTTAGGAGAAACGGTACCCTCTACCAGGGTGGCAGACTATATAGGGAAAAAAGGGAAAATTAACCGAGCCAAATGGCTGTCTATTTATATAGAGACATATCTGTGAAATATCAATCTGTCGCCCTGGTAGAGGTAGGGAAGAGAAACGGCAGGACAGTTCAGAAAATGTCGGAAACTGCATCACAGACCAAAAAAAAAAATAGTTGTTGATAGATGGCGCAGTGAGTCTTGAATTTCAATTTAAAAACCAGTAATAATATCGGCAAGGAGTGAGGGTTTTGCTTAAAATTAAAAGCCTAACACCACCCATTTTGTCTTTCTCTCCTTCATCATTCTAGGAAATAAGGCCCCTAATATTAGTGTAAAATGGAAAGTGTTTTGCACTTAAAATTATTCACAACAGATAATAAGTTCAGGTTATTTCTGGCAATATCTGCATAATAACAGCAATATAAAAAACTAACTTTTTTAATGTTCTGTAAAAGGTAATAAAAAAGATTAAAAAATATAGGGTAACAAAATTTTTTTGCTCACAAGCTCCAAGTAAGCATTATACTGGTAAAAACTAGATCTGGAGGGTGACAAGCCATTAGCTGGAAACGCAAGGTTCCCTCTCTCACATGCATACATAATCTATCTCTCTCTCTCATTTTTCAGTAATGTACCTGCTGTAATTCATACCATATCAGTCTGTTTTTCTAAAGCCAGCATAATTTTTGGGATATGCTGCATATTGTTGCAAACTGTCAAAAATACTGTATGGAATTAGCTCAATTCGGGATTCATTGTTTTGCTATTTAATATTGGCTGCTATTGAAACAACACTGTTGAATTTATAAGTTTTGCACCAGTTTACTGGAGGGAGGGCAGTGACTGGCCTTGACCTAGGTTATCGCTACCATCAAATTCATGCGATTAAGTTTTGGATATACTGTAGTTCTCCCCCCTCCCCAAAGAGAAAACGAGAAAAATTATTTCAATTATGGTTTAAACTAGAAAAGCACTCACTCAGAGTGCAGACCTCAGCCAAGGCAGCAAAGTCTCCATCCAATGCCGTTTCACCCCTAAATTTTCGATAGTTTTGATTATTGATTGATTATTGATCGGGATCACCACCAAAAACTAATCACTTCTAAGTTAATCCATTTCTGGCCTACCCTGAAAATTCCATCGAAATTCATCCATAACTTTTTGAGTTATGTTGATGACAGACAAACAAACAGGGGTGAAAACATTACCTCCTTGGCAGAGGTAATTATTGTATTGTTATCTTGATTAAAGTGATTAATTGTTATTCGAGAGAGATTTTTATACTAATACTATGATTTTGATTGGGCCTAATATTTTTAGGTGCACTAACCAGGTTGATTAAGCAAAATCTATGTGACATCTGACAATAAGGAGCATATGTCAGACGTATTTCAGCCATTTTACGTGGCACTTGGTCAACCCTGTCGATCACTACATTTCAGTCTAACGGCCATAACTAGGCCACTTATAGAAGATCTTGTTTAGCTTCGAACTGCGTGGCTAAAAGCGGCTGGGCCAATACCCATAGAATCCAACCAAAATCGGAAACAAAAGATTCTTCTTTTATGTCAGAATAAATTTCATGGAGGCCAGTATTAAATGCTATACTCATAGGTACTTTTCCTTGCCATTTATAAATACCCCCCCCAGTTGTCACTAACCAACAAGACAAAACACTTTAATTATAAAATATATCAATTTATTGGAAGAACAGAAATCAAAAATAACATTTACATGTTCTCTTAACACATGTTGTAACATTTTAACAAACACTATAAAATCACTGAACATTGATGTCACCATAAAAAACTTAAAACAATTAAGTAAGCTTCAAATCTGTATTGGATTGTATAAAATGACAAATAATCATTTGCTTGCAGGTAACATTTGTTGGAAATAAATGCTTTATGCATAATAATCTCCTTACTCAACTTAATTGCTGCAGCTTTTGTGATTAATCACGAAAAAAAAAAATGAAATAGAATTTCTAATCATGATTCCATCATAAACGTCATCTCTGCAAACAGTCACTTCTTGTGCAAAAAAATTACTGTCCAAATTTTCAAGCACATCTCACATGGTTGATCAAGTCAAGACACCGGTCTACAATGTCAGTCTGTATACACAGAACTGCATGCATCTCATCAGTCACATGCATACTAGTACATGTAGATTAGAGATCGAGGGGAAGGTGATAGTTCGTGCACTACAAATTAATATATACAGTTTAAATTATGTGTGCTGGATTGCAATCTTGCGTTCCTTTGGCTTGTCCTCGATCATGTTCTCAGGGACAGGCGCCTCAAGGGTCAGCAGTCCGTCTGGACGAAGGGCAGAGGTCAAGCTTTTCGGTTCCACGCCCTCTGGCAAAGTGAAAGTACGGGAATACTGGCGGAAAAGGGATCTTCCCTCGCCGCTCTCTTCGTGCTTGGCCTCGACGGTGACTAGATTGCCCTTGGTTTTAACGTCCAGTTCCTCTGGCTTAAATTGATGAACATCAAAGACGTACCTCAGCTTCTTATTACCATCCTCTTCCACGATGGGGTAGTTTTGACAGTGGTTTTCTTGCATTCCACGCACTTGTCCTGGGTAGTTTTGGAACATATNAAAAAAAAAAAAAAAAAAAAAAAAAATAGTTGTTGATAGATGGCGCAGTGAGTCTTGAATTTCAATTTAAAAACCAGTAATAATATTGGCAAGGAGTGAGGGTTTTGCTTAAAATTAAAAGCCTAACACCACCCATTTTGTCTTTCTCTCCTTCATCATTCTAGGAAATAAGGCCCCTAATATTAGTGTAAAATGGAAAGTGTTTTGCACTTAAAATTATTCACAACAGATAATAAGTTCAGGTTATTTCTGGCAATATCTGCATAATAACAGCAATATAAAAAACTAACTTTTTTAATGTTCTGTAAAAGGTAATAAAAAAGATTAAAAAAATATAGGGTAACAAAATTTTTTTGCTCACAAGCTCCAAGTAAGCATTATACTGGTAAAAACTAGATCTGGAGGGTGACAAGCCATTAGCTGAAAACGCAAGGTTCCCTCTCTCACATGCATACATAATCTATCTCTCTCTCTCATTTTTCAGTAATGTACCTGCTGTAATTCATACCATATCAGTCTGTTTTTCTAAAGCCAGCATAATTTTTGGGATATGCTGCATATTGTTGCAAACTGTCAAAAATAATGTACGGAATTAGCTCACTTTGGGATTCATTGTTTTGCTATTTAATATTGGCTGCTATTGAAACAACACTGTTGAATTTATAAGTTTTGCACCAGTTTACTGGAGGGAGGGCAGTGACTGGCCTTGACCTAGGTTATCGCTACCATCAAATTCATGCGATTAAGTTTTGGATATAGTTCTCCCCCCTCCCCAAAGAGAAAACAAGAAAATTATTTCAATTATGGTTTAAACTAGAAAAGCACTCACTCAGAGTGCAGACCTCAGCCAAGGCAGCAAAGTCTCCATCCAATGCCATTTCACCCCTAAATTTTCGATAGTTTTGATTAATGATTGATTATTGATCCAGATCACCACCAAAAACTAATCATCTGTTCCTTGCCCCACTTCTGACAGTTCCTGAAAATTTCATCAAAATCGGTCCATAACTTAGTTTTTTTATTATTGATTGATTATTGATCCGGATCACCACCAAAAACTAATCACTTCTAAGTAAACCCATTTCTGACCTACCCTGAAAATTCCATCAAAATTCATCCATAACTTTTTGAGTTATGTTGATGACAGACAGACAGACAAACAAACAGGTGTGAAAACATTACCTCCTTGGCAGAGGTAATTATTGTATTGTTATCTTGATTAAAGTGATTAATTGTTATTCGAGAGAGATTTTTATACTAATACTATGATTTTGATTGGGCCTAATATTTTTAGGTGCACTAACCAGGTTGATTAAGCAAAATCTATGTGACATCTGACAATAAGGAGCATATGTCAGCCATTTTACGTGGCACTTGGTCAACCCTGTCGATCACTACATTTCAGTCTAACGGCCATAACTAGTCCACTTATAGATCTTGTTTAGCTTCGAGCTGCGTGGCTAAAAGCTGCTGGGCCAATACTCATAGAATCCAACCAAAATCGGAAACAAAAGATTCTTCTTTTATGTCAGAATAACTTTCATGGAGGCCAGTATTAAATGCTATATTCATAGGTACTTTTCCTTGCGATTTATAAATACCCCCCCAGTTGTCACTAACCAACAAGACAACACACTTTAATTATAAAATATATCAATTTATTGGAAGAATAGAAATCAAAAATAACATTTACATGTTCTCTTAACACATGTGGTAACATTTAAACAAACACTATAAACTCACTGAACATTGATGTCACCATAAAAAACTTAAAACAATTAAGTTAAGCTTCAAATCTGTATTGGATTGTATAAAGTGACAAATAATCATTTTCTTGCAGGTAACATTTGTTGGAAATAAATGCTTTATGCATAATAATCTCCTTACTCAACTTAATTGCTGCAGCTTTTGTGATTAATCACAAAAAAAAAAAAAATGAAATAGAATTTCTAATCATGATTCCATCATAAACGTTATCTCTGCAAACAGTCACTTCTTGTGCAAAAAAATTACTGTCCAAATTTTCAAGCACATCTCACATGGCTGATCAAGTCAAGACACCGGCCTGCAATGTCAGTCCGTTTACACAGAACTGCATGCATCTCATCAGTCACATGCATACTAGTAGATTAGAGATCGAGGGGAAGGTGATAGTTCGTGCAGTACAAATTAATATATACAGTTTAAATTATGTGTGCTGAATTGCAATCTTGCGTTCCTTTGGCTTGTCCTCGATCATGTTCTCAGGGACAGGCGCCTCAAGGGTCAGCAGTCCGTCTGGACGAAGGGCAGATGTCAAGCTTTTCGGTTCCACGCCCTCTGGCAAAGTGAAAGTACGGGAATACTGGCGGAAAAGGGATCTTCCCTCGCCGCTCTCTTCGTGCTTGGCCTCGACGGTGACTAGATTGCCCTTGGTTTTAACGTCCAGTTCCTCTGGCTTAAATTGATGAACATCAAAGACGTACCTCAGCTTCTTATTACCATCCTCTTCCACGATGGGGTAGTTTTGACAGTGGTTTTCTTGCATTCCACGCACTTGTCCTGGGTAGTTTTGGAACATGTGATGGTACATTTGGTGCATCTGGCGGTTCATGCGATCCATGTCACGTCGCATTTCGGTCCAGGGATCTCGAACTGCCCTCTCTTCAACGAATGGCTCGAGCAAAAGCGGTAGCAAACTCATCTTGCTTCACGACAAACTGTGTAAGTACAGCAGTGGTAGTAGTAAATGGAGTGTTCGCTCGTATCGTCTCTCTCTCTCTCTCGGAGGCTTTGGTAAGCAAGTTGTCTTTGATCTGTGCAGCTGTCACGTTGCGACGCTTTTATACACAGCGACCAGCCTTCTAGAACCCGTGGAATGCTGTTTTTTTACCTTGACCCGAAACGACTCGAATCCATGCAGATCTAGAACACTCCAGAAATGCAGGTAGGGGGATTCGACAAAACGAAAGTTCCCGATGCAAAGACAGTTTAAAAGTTTTGGGCATAATTATTTTGACTGTAATGGATGTTCCGAAAGAAATTAAGTTCTAGTTGAATTGCGATTTGAATCGTTATATTCTTTTAGTATTTACAATCATGAAACCGTATACATTTTATAGCCTGTGACCCCTCCATAATAAACCCGTCTGGTGTTTTTCAATTCAATGAATGATAATCAAGCACATGATGGTGCACATTAGATAAATCGGGGCAAAGTCTTTAAGTTTATTGGTATCTGCAATGCTACCTTTTCTATATCCAAATTGCATTTCAAAGAAAAAAGTAGGTGATATTCCATTTTTGTTGACTGGTTGTCGTCTGACCCACTTTTAAAAGAAATTGTGTTTTTGCAATTGTTTTGCAATTGATGAAACACTACAAGTAGGGGTATGGTGAAACAAATCTTTGTGCAAAATGATAAGTTCTGTTATACTTAATAAAATTGTCAATAATTTGTATAAACGAAATTAAATTTGATAAAGAAATATCGGGGCATTTTACTAAACTAAACTTAAAACATTGACCAGCTTTGCATGTTTGACATGGAAATGGCGGGGAAGTCTACACTAAAGGCGGTTGAAAATGTTTAGGGAGCATTTGCTGACTCCCGAATATTTTTTCAAATCCAGATATGGTGGTAAGATCTTTTTGATCATTTCCCGATGCTATTGGTCATGTTTCCCTCAAAGGTATTGAAAAGTGCAATCGGACAGGTTTGGCAGTACGAAGTGACACATCAACGATCCACTGAACAGACATTTAACCATACAGACTAGTGAAAGCCTGTCATAATCCTTAGTTCATTATACCCCCCCCCCCCCCCATGAATAAAAAGTACAAATTGTTTTAAATCTGCACCAGGATGTGTTTATTATTTTTGTTATTTTTGTAGTTGTAGTGATAACTAAAAGAACTTACAAGAACATTCTAGAATTTAGCAGATCATCCCAGCTGTAGTACTCGGTAGAAGCTTCCAAAATCGTTCATACTCTACTACTAGTAGACAGCGATGTAAACGACCAAGAGTGAATATATATATATTTTTTTGTTTTGCACTAGGCAAGAATGGTACTAAATCATTTCTTTATTATTTTCATAAGGTGGCATGGCTTCAGCTAAATCTAAAGAAACTCTTCTGCCACCGTCAGCTTTCCAAAGACCAGCTGCCTCCAAGCCTACCGTGATTCCATCTGCCATTGGAAAACATAAAGATCTTCAGGTGGGAGATGAAGAAAAAGAGGAAAAAAGATATCCCTGGAGAGAGTTAAATAGATTGTCAGATGAAATAAGTGATTTAAGAGCAGAGAACCGAAGGCTGAGGTATGTATGTTTAATTCGTTTTGCTGCATAAATGATTTGCAGATGCCCAATGTATGCCAGAAAATTTAAATACATGTGCATGCAGCTAACTGGAATAATGATTCATATGTCAAAACTTTTATTAGATAATTTTAAGCATTTAAGAGGGTTAAATATATATCAGAGAAATGTGTTAAGCAAAAGACGTGCTTAATATGTTAAGTATGATTGTATAAATTTCTGCTCACTTTTTTACAGGGATAAAAAGCCTGCTGCTATCATACCCACAAGTGAGGTGAGAAAAAAACATTTCATAATAGCATTAGTACATATTGGATCATGATTTGAAGACTTAAGTGTTTTCAGTGACTGAATAAATTTTTTCCGTTTCTTATTTCCGTCTCCTGTTGTTGAACTTACTGTAATGACTCCATCCTTTCAATGGGCGTATCTTTCAGATATATTATTTTGGAATCGTAAATAAAAATTATATTTCTTTAAAGCATTTGTGGTGCTTTTACTACATAGAATAAAACTAAAACGTGTACTCTTTTCAATTTTGTTGCTTCCACCCAGTAAGAATGTTATAATTTTAAGCATTTATGATTTGGAAAAGTCAAGTATCTGAAAAAGTCACAATTTCCTCTAACAAAAAGATTGAGTCCTAACTGTAAATAGATATACATATGTTTTTCTGGTCATTGGTAGGAGATCAAGGCCAGAGTGGATGTCCACCACTCGCCCTCTGAGAGATCAGACCGTCGCCATTTTGATGACATCATCAGCAGACAGGCTACAGAGGTTGCTGAGCTGAAACTCCAGCTCAGTAAAGCAAAAGCTGATCACAATCAGAATGTGCTAAGGTGCGTTTCTCATCCAAATGATAATGCATGGTTAGATGTGCTTTTGCTGGATTTTTTTTATCTCAAAATATAAAATTGAATTTAAATAAGTTTCTGTATATGCTATAAGTAAATACATAAGTACATTTAAATATATGGTCAGGACAACATACTTGCCTCAAGCCAGGCAGTCATTTATCAGAATATAGCGCACTAACAGTATTACAGTACTTCCTTCCTCTCTTCTTTACTTTATGTTATTGCATACATGTATTGGTTCAGGAATTATTATTATAGTATTTTGTCACCAGACTCGAAGGACAGATTGCCAGCAGTGATATAAAACATGAGCAAGTATTGGCAAGACTACAAGAAAAACTTGGACAAGAAGAAGAGAGATTTAAGAATGAGGTATTTATACATTTATGACATGATTTTTAAATTAAGAACTGAAAAGTAATTTAAAGTTACACTGAATTCCGTTTGAGTACCACTTGGTATTCTTTGATAGGGGCGATTGAATTTTCTTCGGAAATGCGTACGTCTACGCCGAGCAAGCCTTGCGAGTTGAAAACAACTGATCTCAGACTGGTAAAAAATATCTCAATTTGGTTGATTTCAGTTGACATATTAAAATTCAAATAGGGCGTACGCAGATCACATAACTGGTTTAAGTCCACTAAAGCTACCGGTTTCAAATATAAGTGACCGGGCATTGTTTACAACACCTGTCTCCGGGAGAAAGAGCGTCCCACTTGTAAAGCGCGTCATGAAAGTGATCGTCGGTGAGGGAAATAAATAGATAGAAATTATGAACTGTCGTCTGTTTGATTCTCAAGTTAAGTTAGCACATATTGTACACAGCAAAATAAAATATCAAAAGGAGGATAAAACGTGCTTGAAACACATGTTAGGTGAAAATTGCGGCTTATCTTGAGTTACCCTTCCGGTAAAATGCAATACTTCTGGTAAGATGGACGTTTTGGCAGATGCCCCTAACAATCCGAGGATATCAAAGATTTTCATTGCTGTATTCTAATCAATTCAACCAAACTGACATTTCCATGAAATTAATTAATTAATCTTGGTCGAATTGTTTGGCATATTACCGTATGTGTACAAAGAGGGGTTTTAAGTCAGTAGATCATTTTGGGGCAACTGAAAAAAAAACGGCCTTTTCTTAGTAGCCCCGAGTCGGTGTAAGAAGATTCTGATAGAAATCCTTCTGAACAAAAGTTCATGGCCTCCTAGATTTTTGCTTATAATAAGAAAATCTTGGACAAAGATTAAAAACTATGTTATTTTAATATGTTTTATACATGTGTTGGATGACTTTTTTAAATGAAAGGGGTATTGAAAATGCTACCAAAATTATTGTTAAAGCAATAAAAAATGAATATTTATTGTTGAACTATATAAAGTTGTTGGCTTGAAATGCATTCAAGCATTCTGTATTATTGTATTATATAGTTTTCTTCATTTTACCATCTGTCTCTTTGCAGATAGACATTTTAAACTCAAATCACCAACAAGAGCTGTCAAGATTAGTAGTACAAGTGTCAGAACTAAAAGGACAGCTGCAACACCAACAGGAAACCAGACAAACTAAACAAGAGCAGCTGGAGAATGAAATGAGAAGATTACTGCAGGAGAAACAGGAACAAGAAGAAACAACAAAAAGAGATTTAGAGTAAGAATAGTATTGAATTTCAATTAACTCACCATGTATGTAGTGTAAGAGTAAATGATTTTGTTTACAACAAAATTTAGGGCACATTCATTCTGTGTAATTTTATCCTGTTTGTTAACTAAGTTGATAAGTTGGATGCTGTTTCTGAAGTATTATGAATAACCATTGGATTCCTCCTAGTTTATCAAATGACCAGTCATTTGATATTAATAAAGCTTTAGATTTAAATGCGGTGAAACATGAGACTTAATAAAACATTTCCAGTCAGAAAGATTGATGGCTTTTTTTTTCTAGTGAAAAAGAAGCTCAACTGTTTGAACAGTCCAAAGAGATCCAGAAGCTGCAGAGCTATATCAAGCAGACGCAGGAATATGCACAGTCTACGGAAGCATGGAGAATAGACAAACAAACCATGGAAAGAAAACTTGCAGTAAGCTGGATTTTGTTTTATGTGAAGTTTTGCAGTTTTTTTTCTGCAAGCTCATCAGTAGTTTGCTGTGTGTTCATTTTTCATTTATGTAAGCTAGCATGTGTTAAGTATATGCAATGTGTACCCTTTTTGCTTGGTCACAAACTTTGCAAAATGTCTATTTATTGAATACATAACGTAAGTAATGAAGAAACAAGCTGGGAATTTCATGCAAATGTAACCAATTATTTTATTGTGTTTGTATTTTTTGTTTTTCATTCTTTTAAAAAATCTTGATTCAGGAAGTGCAGAGTGTGAAGGAGGGTCTGGAGTCAACACTTCAGTTGCTTCATATTCGACTGAATTCTTTGAATGAAATTCTGTCAATACAGGAGAAAGAACTGTCTAAGGTTTGTAAAACATATTATTCATTAAATAAGTTACCAAACTATTATATATATGATTATTTGGCTTTTCAATGATATAAGACATCTGTTTGATCTAGTATACTTTTAAATGAGTCATTGTATATGTGAAACTAAAATGGTACAGATTAGACCAACATATAAATTAAGAGAAACCAATCTGATGCAGTTTTCAAATTAGTTGTTAATGTATCACATATATTTTCGTTTTAGACAAAGGGGGAAGAAATAAGTGAGAAAAAGAAAGGTGCAAATTTACTTACAAGGTAAATACACTTTGTCATGTATCTGAGAAACTTACTCCTTCTTTAACAAGTTATTGCAAAGCTTTCTGCCTCTGTACCCAATAAAAAGAAAAATAAAAATGTAAAAGTTATGCTTTGTTGTGTTTACTGATTCAAACCTTTTTAAATTTTGATGCGTTCCAATTCACAAGATATATCTTTCTACAACATTGAATATATATTTTTCAGATGGAGAGAGAAAGTGTTTGCTTTATTAGTACAACAGAAGTCTGCAGATATAGTGAGAAAGAAAGATGAACAAAACTGGAATGCAAAGGTACTTCACTCAATACATGGATAAGTAGAAATTTAGGCACAGTAGTAGTAACCATGGTCATAGTCCTGGGGTGGGAGGGGAGGGGGATATATTTATAAGTCTATCATGGACTATACACATATCTTTCAACAGCCAGCCCACGACCCTGATAACTATCCTATGTTATTTTCTAGGATGTGATACATAAATTTTTGACTAATCACTTAAGTGTTTGTAGTCACATTTTTTTCCAAATTAAAGATGAAGCAGTAAAGTGAAATAAATATGTTAAGTGTTTTGCTTAAATTTTATGCTTTATATTTCTAGCTTTACATATTTTTATTTGTTCATGCCCTTTTACAAAGTCTTGTCACTTCTGTTTCTGCACTTTGAGATTCATGAATGTTTTTACAGGTCTCTGCAATAGAACAGCAACTTCAACAAGCTTTGAGCAAAAACCAGATGCTCGTCCACTCGATATCAGACAAAGAAGCTCAGTTAGAGATAGAAAGGAACAACTTGAAGGTTGGTAGTCTATTTGAATGAAACCACTTGTTTACATTTTTTTTTATTTTTTTTTATTTTTTTTGTTAAAAATTGTCTGGATTTTAGTTCTTATTTTCCTCATTTCATTCTTAAAATATTTTCACAAACTGTAGTTGGAAAAAGTATCGATTCAATGGTCCCAGATAAATATATGTTGTACTTGATATAAAGTTGGTTTCTATGTAACTTCAGACTACCCAGAATGCTCTGACAAAAGCACAAGAGTTGGCACTCAGTTTAGATGAGAGGTTGCAACAAGACAGGGACAAGGTGGAGATTCTTCAACAGCTTGCACAGTGGTAAGCAAAATTAAAATATGATTTTTTAACTGGGATTTAATGATGCATAACATAAAAACTTGGAAAAAATCAGGTTTTGGAATATTCAGTAATGTAGTGCCACTCTGAAAAAGCGTTCCCACTTGCCTTTTCAATTTGAATCTTATAAGTTTATCAGTTTCATTGTAAAATGCATGTCTATATTATATGTTTACTGTGTAACTAAGGTGTTCCAAGTGATTTTATTTCTGTTTTTCAGTGTCCAAGAAAAAATGACTGACATGGACCAGATGCAGTCAGGAATTCTTGGAACTCTCAAGTCCTATGGACAGAGAATAAGTTTTGCCAGTGGCCGAGTGGAAATGCTTCAAGGTAGGAAGCTGGGTTTGAATAATTTAGCCACTGCAGAGTTTCTCTGTCACTGGCTGTAAGTTTAGAACTTGTCTTTACAAGATATTTTCTTACTGGTTTGTTTATACTCAGAACTTTAATTTCTGTATTAACATAATTGGTATTTGTCTTTACAAGATATTTTCTTACTGGTTGGTTTATACTCAGAACTTTAATTTCTGTATTAACATAATTGGTATTTGATGCCTTGGCATTAAATGGTCAATAATTTTTTTGCAGTTTTGGAACCTGATAAACTGGTTGCCGTGTCTTGAGTTTGCTATTTCAGATATATATATATATATATATATATATATATATATATATATATATATATATATATATATATATATAAAACCTTAAAGGAAATGGCAGTGATTTGATAGATATGATTATGACAATAAAATGACATTTTCAGGCCAGTTTGCCAGGAAGGAGGCATTCTTAAGGATGCAGATGTCAGAAGAAACGGAAGCCATGAAACAGAAAACAGTTCCTGAAAAACCTCCTCCAGTGGATGAAACAAGGTAGAAATACAAGGTCACCTATTGATTAAGAACATAATTTTGCCTTAGCAGGAGAATTGAGTTAGCTAGCCTACTTTTGGCACCCTGAGCTTCAGAGCTGACTTGACACTAACCTNCTTTTGGGCACTTTGACATTAATATAGATATATAATTTTTCATATACACACGGTGAAATGTCCCTTAAACTGAAAACCATGTGCTTCATTAGACTGGACATTGATAGTGCATTACCTAAACTATACGATGCATATAATGGCTAGCTGTTAACAACACTTAATTCACTTTATGACAATAAATATGCTGAAGTGATCTTTAAAAAGTTTACTGTAATAATAGCAAAAAATTATATCTTCAGAAATATTTTCACTGTTCATAGCATAGATTTAATAGTTAAAAACTGCTCAAAAGTCGGTATTTGATTATATATTTTGCCTGTTGAACCATTTTGATAGACCAATATAACACACTGATATTTCCTCAATGGTGCAGTGGTTCTTATGGTCAGTTGTGCCAGGAACTAGAGAGAGTGACCAGAGAGAGGGACAGTCTGGCCACACAGATCAGAAAAGACTCTGAACTCATTGACCAAAAGGTTGGAGACGTAAGGCACAAATGTGAGTGAAGTGATAGGCAAGAAACCCAGCATCCCTGTCCTGTTTTAAAACTATTTTCCTTGGAATATTTCCATCATGTTGGTTTGGTTTTCTGTACAGTTAATTGGTGCTGTGTGGAAAAGCACGGATTAGTGATTAGAAAAGTATAAATCATGAGAATATACATTTGTGTGTTCAAGTGCAGTCATCCATATAAGTCTACTGTTCAAGATTTTCTTTGTCATCAGTGTGTTGGCATAATTATCAGTGAGATGTTTGAAAATATACGTGTGTGTGTGCACCTGCAAGCATGCATGTATGCATGTTAGGATTAGTAACTTAGGTATTTAAACTTTGTGAGCAATTACTGCAATCTTGTCAGATATCTTGTATGAGGATAACTGTCCACTCCACTAAACTATTTGACCTCAATACCATTTGATATGCTCTGGCTATGTTCTTTTTGATTCAGTATTCTATCTTCTCTTTTTGCTTTAAATCCATAATAAATACTTATTTTTAAAAACCATTTCAGATGAAGGAGAAATAGAAGGTTTGAGGGACAGAATAAAACTTCTGGAAACCTCTGTAGAAGATAGAAATCAGGTGAAATATTTCTTTTGAGACATTAAGCACATTCTTGATTTGTATTTGAGGTATTTTACATATTGTGACCTGTATTACATCTCTGTACAACATCAAAATCACCATTATTGTGTTTTCGTTATTCAATGATTGTGACAGACGAGAAATTTAAATCACGCTCATGCGTACCTGCACGCACACGCATACACGCACACACTGCTTATCACTTATTTTACAAATAAGAACATATTCTTTTAGTTTATATTATGGTTATATTTCAGACTAAATAAAAGCATTGAGGGTGCTAAAGAGCTTAATGTATAGTAAATTACTGTTCTAGAAATGTCACAGGCTGAGTGAGCAGCTAGAGGAGGCCCACAGTGGACTGGAGGAGGCCAGAGAAGCCGTGAACAAACTGAAGACTGACCTAGCCAGGCAGCAGTTAGAGGCTGAAAAAGGTGCAGTAACTTCTGTAATAATGATAAAAATAATAATAATAATAATACTTTTAAGTTGGAAAAAAATTAAGGACATGTGTTCAATATCAGTGTGTAATGTACTAAGGTTGTCATATCAACAGTGATGTATATATTACAAGTTTTTGACTGTTGGTTCCTTTTATTTTTTGGTTGATTATTTTCTTGTCCCCTCAGGTAAGCAGTGGTCTTATACAGTTTAAGTTATTGTATATAATATTCCTGTTTGGTGTATTTATTACGTGAAATTAGTATGCATTTCAAAATTTTTTAAAAATTTTCACAGCACTCAAGGATAAACAGACCAAGGACGAGCAACAGTTCATTGAACAGTTCACAGAGATGGAGAGAAAGCTAAATGATGCCAGAAGGGAACACACAAAGGCTGGTAAGTATATTTGTTGTGCTTGGTTTAGTTTGGCTTGCCTCCAGAAGGGATGCCTTTAAAGTTATTCAGTCTTCAGGACAATGCAATTGATATTTAATTCAATCTTATTTTTATGTTTGGATTAAAAAGGTTATTATAGTAACACCACATGAATTTGGACTAGTTTGAGGAAACAATTGTTAAGATAAGATAAGATAAGAGTTTATTTAGCCAATTATATTATGGGCTTAAAATTAAATCAGTATTTTCAACACATTTTCTTTAAAATGAATTTAAAGTTTAAAATGCCAAGATTCATCATTGATATCTGCAAGTCTCAGACGATTCATGCACTGTTGTTTTCAAATACCAGTTGTTTCGCTACGGCAACAAGAGAGACAGATGTCAAGAGAGAGACAGAGGGCCGCTGACCAGGTTAAGGGACTAGAGGACCACTACAAGGTGCAGCTAGACAAACTACACCACCAACTTAAAACTGCAGAGAGGGACAAAAATTTACTGATGGTAAGTAAGATCAGGGAGGTTAACATTCTTAAAAATCCATGAGGTCCCCTTTGATTATCAGTAAATGATAAATCTTTATAAGTACTGTCATTGAGTTACAATTCAATTGCAAAATGTATAATTATTTTAGTATTATGTACTGTAGTTTATTTTTTTGTCATCACTGATTATTTTTTAAAAAATTTTCTTATATACTTTTCTGTGAGGAAAAAGTGAATAGACATTTTGGTGAGAAAAGTAATTAAATATATTTCTTAATTGAAATACAGGCCACATTGAGACAAGAAGGTTTGCTGAGTAAAGTGAAAACTCAAAGAGCTTCCCCGGTGAATTACGAGTCTGACAGTAGCACCACTGATGATAAAGAAAATATTGAACCACGTCCTAATACTGCACAGTCACAAAGGGTCTCAGGTATGTATAAAAATCGTTTGAAAAAATGTACAATTGGAAAATGGCTAATCAACAATTTTCTGGCACTGTGTTTGCTTGTCCTTACCATACTTCAAATGCCAAAAATACGACCTCATTTCAATATAAACTTTAATCATGTGCCACAAAAACATAACTATAATATTCAAGAGGTCAAATGGGCTTTCTTTAGATTTAACATATTACTCGTAATAAATAAATTTTATAAAATTGTAACTTAATTTTATCCAATTAATTTTCTTTCAGAACCACTGAGGTCAGTCATTGACGATATCAAAGCTTTAACTGAGGTGGCCTCGGATTCTGAGGACTCTTAACATGTGGGCAGATCAGGAACTATTTAATATAACACCATCTTATGGACTTGGCTGTGATAGTGACAGCATATAACAGAAAGCAATTTGTTGTCTTCACCGTTATTTATTTTGTAAAAGTATTCTGAAAATAGTTGTACATTCTGTATATATTAGTATCAGCGATAAAATGTGTTCACCATTAAAATGTATATCTGCATATTCACCAATACAATCTCATGTTACAATATATTTCTTAAACTGTATAATAAATGGCTATAAAACTTTTCAGCTAGTTTTCACTGTCAGCTTTGTCACATACAGTAGACTCAGCATGATTCAGCCAATTTGGGACATAAATGCTTGTTCAAATTATTGACACTTTATGTTATGCAATGTTCAAATTAATTTTGGTTGATGCTAAAGAAAATCCTTTTCATAAAATTTGAGATAAACCATGTCCGTTATTAGGTGTCGGGATGTTCTGTATTTTCCTGACTACCATTCACAAGGGATATTTGATATATATTCATGTACTTGCTATATCATATATGATCAGTAAAATTCTACTACTTCTATTTAAAAATATTGTCAAAATGTAACCAAGAGTTTCTTCTTTTAAGAAGAAGCTCTTGGTTACATTTAAAATTGGTTGCAATTAAAATTGCAAAAGTTATCAACAGTACCTAACCAACCTAGCTTTTGAAGTTGAAAACCCTGTAGCCTATAAAACAAAATATGCCATTTATCAGTAAATTAATCCAGCAAGACTTGTAAACATTTTGTGCAAAAGTAACTGAATGACAATTGCATATTCTAGACAATTAAATGTACAAAAAATTCCACCTTAGAAATGTTAATGAGGACAAAACCTCTACAAGAGATTCAGTTGGTTACAGATTAGTTGACACACTCCTAATTCTACACTTACATACATCTACTGGGACCTTTAAAACGGCAACATCCAGTACTTTTAAAATTCCATTGGTTGTCATGATTGCAGTTCAAAGGATTTTTATTAAATGTAACTGAAATATGTAAACATAACTAATTGGGATTATTCTTATCCATTTTGCCAATTTCTTCCTCAAGATGTAATGTAGAGATATCAATCACAAGCAATATAGCTCCAACTAATTTGTCTAGTTGTGCAGCAGTGGACCATTTTGCCAAGTTCATACATCAGCTAAAATATGGAAGAACTAAACACAGAGCTCCATGGTTCCCTAGCCAAACACTCCAGAACCATAATAGAAGGATCCATGACTATTGCAGGCCATGTGTATATTTCTCAAAGTACTAGCTAATATTAGTCTAAATTGGAATGGAAATTTAAAACTGGCAAAATATTGGTAAAATGCTCTATAAAGAGTAAACAAAATCCCATGACTCTCTCCACTGCAATTTCTGCAGATGGTCTGGGGTTAGTATTGTTGTTCCTTGATTTAAAACGCAGTATTTGTGGAACTGGTGGTACACTGCGCTACACCACACCAACACTGCTGCCACAAACGTAAACTTGCTCACTTGGTTAGCTAATCTATTATGCTGGGTGATATAACTGAAAAATAGAATAAAAAGTATTAATTGGAGATGAGCATCCGAAGTATGAGGAACAAGAAAAAGCACAAAATCTGTGTACAGTAGACACTGCAAAACTCACCACCTTACCACATGGATTAGCTTTTAATTAATATAATCAATAAATCCCAAGCAACCTGCAGGAAATACATTCCACTTAGTATTTCAAAAAGATATATTGAAGTGAATAAAAAATGTACTACACTAATATTTTCTGATATCAGGTCCACCTACTTTAACACAGAGTACACATGATCAATCACTGCGGCCAGAACCATGAACTTGAAAAGCACCCCAGGCAAGTAGTGGTGAAGGAACATGGTCCTGTCCTGCATGAAGTAAGGCACAAAGTTCACCAGGAACCCTCCCAGCAGCAGCTCACCAACCAAAACAAACTGCTGCCACATTGCTGGAAAAATAATACATTTTTTGCTGTATTCATTTTATTCCCATACAGCACTGTCCTGTATTTCAAACCAATCCAGGTTTATGAAACACTTTTAATATCATACAAATTTTTGGGTCAAACCTCGTAAGTTGTGTGTATTAGCCGTGCAAAGTGCTTTTAATCATTTTTCATAATATCTTTCAAGAAAACAGTTTTACCCCCTTAAAACTTCTCATCGGACTTGAAACATTTGAGAAAACAAATAATAATCTAGAAAATAATCACAAATCTTTCACAATTTTCTGTCATTCAGTGTTTCCTAGACAATAATTATTAGGTAGCCTTGTATAATTTTACTTCAAAATGTCCACTCACCTTCTGGCAAATCTTGTATATCCCTCTGTCTTCTGAGTAAATAGAACAGTAACACAGCACAGTACGTTAACAAAGCCAAAGTCCCAGTACAATACAGGAGTGGGTTACCCAGCAAATGAATTTGTCTCTGAAATAAAACAGCGCCACTGAATTAAAACCATGATGTTTAAACTCAAAATGGTTGTTGGAGTAATTTGTGATCATTAGAATGATAACAATAAAAAGATTTCTGGATAGAGTAGAGTGCTGAAAAGTAAACAATACAACTAGAAGCCATTTGTANGATTTTATGCTTTATATTTCTAGCTTTACATATTTTTATTTGTTCATGCCCTTTTACAAAGTCTTGTCACTTCTGTTTCTGCACTTTGAGATTCATGAATGTTTTTACAGGTCTCTGCAATAGAACAGCAACTTCAACAAGCTTTGAGCAAAAACCAGATGCTCGTCCACTCGATATCAGACAAAGAAGCTCAGTTAGAGATAGAAAGGAACAACTTGAAGGTTGGTAGTCTATTTGAATGAAACCACTTGTTTACATTTTCTTTTTTTTGTTAAAAATTGTCTGGATTTTAGTTCTTATTTTCCTCATTTCATTCTTAAAATATTTTCATAAACTGTAGTTGGAAAAAGTATCGATTCAATGGTCCCAGATAAATATATGTTGTACTTGATATAAAGTTGGTTTCTATGTAACTTCAGACTACCCAGAATGCTCTGACAAAAGCACAAGAGTTGGCACTCAGTTTAGATGAGAGGTTGCAACAAGACAGGGACAAGGTGGAGATTCTTCAACAGCTTGCACAGTGGTAAGCAAAATTAAAATATGATTTTTTAACTGGGATTTAATGATGCATAACATAAAAACTTGGAAAAAATCAGGTTTTGGAATATTCAGTAATGTAGTGCCACTCTGAAAAAGCGTTCTCATAAGTTTATCAGTTTCATTGTAAAATGCATGTCTATATTATATGTTTACTGTGTAACTAAGGTGTTCCAAGTGTTTTTATTTCTGTTTTTCAGTGTCCAAGAAAAAATGACTGACATAGACCAGATGCAGTCAGGAATTCTTGGAACTCTCAAGTCCTATGGACAGAGAATAAGTTTTGCCAGTGGCCGAGTGGAAATGCTTCAAGGTAGGAAGCTGGGTTTGAATAATTTAGCCACTGCAGAGTTTCTCTGTCACTGGCTGTAAGTTTAGAACTTGTCTTTACAAGATATTTTCTTACTGGTTGGTTTATACTCGGAACTTTGATTTCTGTATTAACATAATTGGTATTTGATGCCTTGGCATTAAATGGTCAATAATTTTTTTGCAGTTCTGGAACCTGATAAACTGGTTGCCGTGTCTTGAGTTCGCTATTTCAGATATATATGCCGTGTCTTGAGTTCGCTATTTCAGATATATATATATATATATATATATATATATATATATATATATATATATATATATATATATATATATATATATATATATATATATAACCTTAAAGGAAATGGCAGTGATTTGATAGATATGATTATGACAATAAAATGACATTTTCAGGCCAGTTTGCCAGGAAGGAGGCATTCTTAAGGATGCAGATGTCAGAAGAAACAGAAGCCATGAAACAGAAAACAGTTCCTGAAAAACCTGCTCCATTGGATGAAACAAGGTAGAAATACAAGGTCACCCATTGATTAAGAACATAATTTTGCCTTAGCAGGAGAATTGAGTTAGCTAGCCTACTTTTGCGCACTTTGACATTAATATAGATATATAATTTTTCATATACACACGGTGAAATGTCCCTTAAACTGAAAATCATGTGCTTCATTAGACTGGACTTTGATAGTGCATTACCTAAACTATACGATGCATACAATGGCTAGCTGTTAACAACACTTAATTCACTTTATGACAATAAATATGCTGAAGTTTACTGTAATAATAGCAAAAAATTATATCTTCAGAAATATTTTCACTGTTCATAGCATAGATTTAATAGTTAAAAACTGCTCAAAAGTAGGTATTTAATTATATATTTTGCCTGTTGAACCATTTTGATAGACCAATATAACACACTGATATATCCTTGATGGTGCAGTGGTTCTTATGGTCAGTTGTGCCAGGAACTAGAGAGAGTGACCAGAGAGAGGGACAGTCTGGCCACACAGATCAGAAAAGACTCTGAACTCATTGACCAAAAGGTTGGAGACGTAAGGCACAAATGTGAGTGAAGTGATAGGCAAGAGACCCAGCATCCCTGTCCTGTTTTAAAACTATTTTCCTTGGAATATTTCCATCACATTGGTTTGGTTTTCTGTACAGTAAATTGGTGCTGTGTGGAAAAGCACGGATTAGTGATTAGAAAAGTATAAATCATGAGAATATACATTTGTGTGTTCAAGTGCAGTCATCCATATAAGTCTACTGTTCGAGATTTTCTTTTTCATCAGTGTGTTGGCATAATTATCAGTGAGATGTTTGAAAATATACGTGTGTGTGTGTGTGTGTGTGCACCTGCAAGCATGCATATATGCATGTTAGGATTAGTAACTTAGGTATTTAAACTTTGTGAGCAATTAGTGCAATCTTTTCAGATATCTTGTATGAAGATAACTGTCCACTCCACTAAACTATTTGACCTCAGTACCATTTGATATGCTCTGGCTATGTTCTTTTTGATTCAGTATTCTATCTTCTTTTTTTTCTTTTAAATCCGTAATAAATACTAATTTTTAAAAACCATTTAGATGAAGGAGAAATAGAAGGGTTGAGGGACAGAATAAAACTTCTGGAGACCTCTGTAGAAGATAGAAATCAGGTGAAATATTTCTTTTGAGACATTAAGCACAATGTTGATTTGTATTTGTGGTATTTTACATATTGTGACCTGCATTTCATCTCTGTACAACATCAAAATCATCATTATTGTGTTGTCATTATTGAACGATTGTGACAGACGAGAAAATTAAAACACGCTCATGCATACCTACACGCACATGCATAAACACACACACACACACTGCTTATGACTTAGTTTGCAAATAAAAACATTATTCTTTTGGTTTAAATTTTTGTTATGCCTCAGACTAAATGAAAGCGCTGAAGATGCTAAAGAGCTTAATGTATTGTAAATTATTGTTGTAGAAATGTCACAGGCTGAGTGAGCTGCTAGAGGAGGCCCAGAGTGGACTGGAGGAGGCCAGAGAAGCCGTGGACAAACTGAAGACTGACCTGGCCAGGCAGCAGTTAGAGGCTGAAAAAGGTGCAGTAACTTCTGTAATAAGTTGGAAAAAAAATTAAGGACAAGTGTTTAATATCAGTGTGTAATGTACCAAGGTTGTCATGTCTCAACAGTGATGTATGTATTACAAGTTTTTGACTGTTGGTTCCTTTTATTTTTTGGTTGTGTATTTTCTTGTCCAATCAGGTATTTGACATATTAAGGAATGGTCTTATAGAGTTTAAGTTATTGTATATAATGTTCCTGCTTGGTGTATTTATTACATGACATTAGTATGTATTTCAAATATGTTAAAATTTTCACAGCACTCAAGGATAAACAGACCAAGGACGAGCAACAGTTCATTGAACAGTTCACAGAGATGGAGAGAAAGCTAAATGATGCCAGAAGAGAACACACAAAAGCTGGTAAGTATATTTGTTCTGCTTTGTTTAGTTAGGTTTGCCTCCAGAAGGGATGTCCTTAAAGTTGTTCAGTCTTCTAGACAATAAAATTGATATTTAATTTAGTCTTACTTTATATGTTTGGATTAAAAAGGTTATTGTAGTAACACCACATGAATTTGTGAATTTGGACTCTTTTGAGGAAGTGATTGTTATTATGGGCTTAAAATTAAATCAAAATTTTTAAACACATTTTCTTCAAAATGAATTTAAAGTTATAAATGCCAGGATTCATCATCAATATCTGTAAGTCTCAGACGATTCATGCACTGTTGTTTTCAAATACCAGTTGTTTCGCTACGGCAACAAGAGAGACAGATGTCAAGAGAGAGACAGAGGGCTGCTGACCAGGTTAAGGGGCTGGAGGACTACTACAAGGTGCAGCTAGACAAACTACACCATCAACTTAAAACTTCAGAGAGGGACAAAAATTTACTGATGGTAAGATAAAGATCGGGGTGCTTAACATTCTTATGAGGTCCATTTTGATTTTAAGTAAATGATAAACCTTTACAAGTGCTGTCAACCTCATTGAGTTACATTTCAATTGCAAAATGTATAATTATTTAAGCATTATATACTATAGTTTATTTTTTCATCATCACTGATTATTTTTTTAAAAATTCTTATATACTTTTCTGTGAGGAAAAAGTGAATAGACATTTTGGTGAGAAAAGTAATTAAATATATTTCGTAATTGAAATACAGGCCACATTGAGACAAGAAGGTTTGCTGAGTAAAATGAAAACTCAAAGAGCTTCCCCGGTGAATTACGAGTCTGACAGTAGCACCACTGATGATAAAGAAAATATTGAACCATCATCTAATGCTGCACAGTCACAAAGGGTCTCAGGTATATATTAAACATTATTTGAAAATAACGTACAGTTTGAAAATGGCTAATCAACAATTTTCTGGCACTGTGCTTGCTTGTCCTTACCATATTTCAAATGCTAAAAATACGACCTCATTTCAATATAAACTTTAATCTTGTGCCACAAAAACATAACTATAATATTCAAGAGGTCAAATGGGCTTAGCAATGTAGTTTTAAAAAGATTAAATTTTAAGCCAATTGTAATCAAAATATGCTTGTAAGTTATAGGGAAATACATTTCTTTAGATTTAACATAGATTTACTTGTAATAAATAAGTTTGATAAAATAGTAACTTGATTTTATCCAATTAATTTTCTTTCAGAACCATTGAAGTCAGTCATTGACGATATAAAAGCTTTAACTGAGGTGGCCTCGGATTCTGAAGACTCTTAACATGTGGGCAGATCAGGAACTATTTAATATAACACCATCTTATGGACTTGGCTGTGATACTGACATAGAAAGCAATTTGTTGTCTTCATCGTTCTTTATTTTGTAAAAAGTATTCTGAAAATAGTTGTACATTCTGTATATATTAGTATCAGCGATAAAATGTGTTCACCATTAAAACGTATATCTGCATATTCACCAATACAATCTCATGTTACAATATATTCCTTAAACTGTATAATAAATGTCTATAAAACCTTTCAGCTAGTTTTCACTGTCAGATTTGTCACATACAGTAGACTTAGCATGATTCGGCCAATTTTGGAACTGAAATACTTGTCCAAATTTGTGATCAATGTTGAAATTAATTTTGGTTGATGCAAAAGAAAATCCTTTTCATAAAATTTGTTTGAGATAAATCATAATGTCTGTTATTAGGTGTCAGGATGTTCCGTATTTTCCTGACTACCATTCACAAGGGATATTTGATATATGTTCATGTACTTGCTATATCAAATATGATCAGTAAAATTCTACTACTTCTATTTAAAAATATTGTCAAAATGTAAACAACAGTTTCTTCTTAATGGCAAAACTTATCCACAGTACCAAACCAACCTAGCTTTTGAAGTTGAAAACCCTGAAACCTATAAAACAAGATATGCCATTTATCAGTAAATTAATCCTGCAACACTTGTAAACATTTTGTGCAAAAGTAACTGAATGACAATTGCATATTCTAGACAATTAAATATACAAAAAAATTCCACCTTAGAAATGTTAATGAGGATAAAACCTCTACAAGAGATTCAGTTGGTTACAGATTAGTTGACACCCTCCTAATTCTACCTAACATACATCTACTTGGACCTTTAAATCAGCAACATCCAGTACTTTTAAAATTACCTTGGTTGTCATGATTGCAGTTCAAAGGATTTTTATTAAATGTAACTGAAATATGTAAACATAACTAATTGGGATTATTCTTATCCATTTTCTCAATCTCTTCCTTATAAGTTGTAATGTAGAGATATCAATCACAAGCAATATGGCTCCAACTAATTTGTCTAGTTGTGCAGCAGTGGACCATTTTGCCGAGTTCATACATCAGGTGAAATATGGAAGAGCTAAACAGAGCTCCATGGTTCCCTAGCCAAACTCTCCAGAACCATAATAGAAGGATCCATGACTCTTGCAGGCCATGTGTATATTTCTCAAAGTACTAGTTAATATTAGTCTAAACTGGAATGGTAAATTATATTAATAGCTGGCAAAACATTGGTAAAATGCTCTATAAAGAGTAGACAAAATCCCATGACTCTCTCCACTGCAATTTCTGCAGATGGTCCGGGGTTAGTATTGTCGTTCCTTGATTTAGAACGCGGTATTTGTCGAACTGGTGGTACACTGCGCTACACCACACCAACACTGCTGCCACAAACGTAAACTTGCTCACTTGGTTTGCTAGTCTATTATGCTGGGTGATATAACTGAAAAATAGAATAAAAAATATTAATTGGAGATGAGCATCCGAAGTATGAGGAACAAGAAAAAGCACAAAATTTGTAGACACTGCAAAACTCACCACCTTACCACATGGATTAGCTTTTAATTAATATTATCAATAAATCCCAAGCAACCTGCAGGAAATACATTCCACTTAGTATTTCAAAAAGATGTATTGAAGTGAATAAAAAATGTACTACACTAATATTTTCTGATATCAGGTCCACCTACTTTAACACAGAGTACACGTGATCAATCACTGCAGCCAGAACCATGAACTTGAAGAGCACCCCGGGCAAGTAGTGGTGAAGAAACATGGTCCTGTCCTGCATGAAGTAAGGCACAAAGTTCACCAGGAAACCTCCCAGCAGCAGCTCTCCAACCAAAACAAACTGCTGCCACATTGCTGTAAAAATAATACATTTTTTGCTGTATTCATTTTATTCCCATACAGCACTGTCCTGTATTTCAAACCAATCCAGGTTTATGAAACACTTTTAATATCATACAAATGCTTTGGTCAAATCTCTTAAGCTGTGTTGATTAGCCGTGCAAAATGTTTATGATCATTTTTCACAACATCTTTCAAGAAAAGTTTTACCCCCTTACAACTTCTCACCGGACTTAAAACATTTGAGAAAACAAATAATCTATAAAGTAACCCACAAAACTTTCACAATTTTCTGCCATTTAATGTTTCCTAGACAATAATTATTAGGTAGCCTTGTATAATTTTACTTCAAAATGTCCACTCACCTTCTGGCAAATCTCGTATATCCCTCTGTCTTCTGAGTAAATAGAACAGTAACACAGCACAGTACGTTAACAAAGCCAAAGTCCCAGTACAATACAGGAGTGGGTTACCCAGCAAATGAATTTGTCTCTGAAATAAAACAGCGCCACTGAATTAAAACCATGATGTTTAAACTCAAAATGGTTGTTGGAGTAATTTGTGATCATTAGAATGATAACAATAAAAAGATTTCTGGATAGAGTAGAGTGCTGAAAAGTAAACAATACAACTAGAAGCCATTTGGAAAGAATGTCGCAAAAAGGTCCTATAGGACATGCTGAGTTTCAAACTCTCTTTCTCTGTAACATTAGAGCTCTCTGTAATGTTATAGATAATTTCTTTATTTTTTTACCTTTACATTAGAAGCTGCCCAGTAAGCCACATTCTTGTACATCAAAGGCCAGTCTAAAGGTGTGGACCCATAGCGATGGTCCAAGTCTGCATCATGTCTGGTATACAGCATTTTAACCTAAACAAAATGAAACAGAAATCAACCAACTAATCTTCTAACAAAGAAGACAGATATGGAATTATAAGACAGATTCTGATCAAATATCCCATTCCTTTGAAAAAAGCTATGTTATACATACACTAGTGGTCAGAGTCGGAAAAAACATGACAAATTTGTAAATCTAAAATTCTAATTTCTATGCTCATGATATGAAGGGTTTATTCATAAATGTCTTAACCTGATCAAAAGTTTGCTGTTTCTAAAGAGACCTTAGTTTTTTTACCCCTTTGAGGCATGAGCTTTTGACCCTCCATAAAAGGGCCTTGATCACATGACATACTGTCAATGTGGCCTAAACCAACATTACACAAGCACCAATAATAAACCCATTTCACCATGTCTTAACTTGTTTTATCACTAGTAGAAGAACATGGGAGGGAATTCGTTATCTTGTTACCTGGAGTTCTTTGAATTTTTCCCAGAAGCTCAGCTGTGTTGGTTGAGTTGGTATCAAGTTTCCTTTATTGGATGCTTTCTCAGCAGTCTCACCACCTAAGAGAGGGAGAAAGTCTTTTACTACAACGAATAATGTATGCCACTGGAAAATTTAGATTAAAAAATATTAGCAATGGGGAAGGGTTCTATGCTAACAAAAGATATCACCAAATTGAAATTATTGATGTCATTGAAAAATTTGGATAAAAGGTGGTGAAAAATCTAACCCCTTTTTCTCAAAAAAAAAAAAGACTGTGACAGAGAGAGGGAGAGTCACAATCAGCATTTGCCAGCCAATAGTTTACATAAAAGAAGAGGGCAAACCTGTGCCTTAATGTTAATATCCCTTACTTTTGGTATATCTGTGTTCCTCAGCATTCCACATAGCAGTCTCCTGACCTATGTTAGTGTCGGTAACAACCTCGTTCTGTGAGAACCCCCACTCAGGCAAGATCTTACCACTGGTCTGGAAGTCAATGAAATTAATAAATTGACATTTTTGACTTTTGACAATATAAATAATACCAGTCCTGTGTGACATCAAGTTAGAAATTTTACCTTTTAAATCAGTTAAATATATTCTTATATTACTGTAATAGCCATCATGGATACAAAATAACAATAATAATAATGTTATTAATATTATGCATTCAAAATTTACAATTTAAGCTTCTTCAAACTACAGCTCAATTCAGAAAATCACCATTTTAGTATCTCACAAGACACCATTCTCAGGTAATGAGGGAATTGCCAGACACTGAAACACTTGGAGCCAATGTGATTATAACTCTGGAGTTAAACGGTTATCTGAATAAACTATTGTTACAACTTTAAGGTATATCTCACCTTGAGGACCTGTGATGTGTTGAGATGAATGAATCTCACTTGTGAGGTTATGATCTTCCATGTGTCTCCTTCTGAGTCCCTGTTAATGATGTCCTATAACATAATATAATATAGCATATATAAACAGGAAACACCAAAATCAGCATGTGCAAAAGACAATAACTATAGATGAAAATAGCACTCATGTTATTGATAAAAAGCTACTTAGACTAAAATTCACATAAATAAACAATGATTATACNAAAGAATGTCGCAAAAAGGTCCTATAGGACATGCTGAGTTTCAAACTCTCTTTCTCTGTAACATTAGAGCTCTCTGTAATGTTATAGATAATTTCTTTATTTTTTTACCTTTACATTAGAAGCTGCCCAGTAAGCCACATTCTTGTACATCAAAGGCCAGTCTAAAGGTGTGGACCCATAGCGATGGTCCAAGTCTGCATCATGTCTGGTATACAGCATTTTAACCTAAACAAAATGAAACAGAAATCAACCAACTAATCTTCTAACAAAGAAGACAGATATGGAATTATAAGACAGATTCTGATCAAATATCCCATTCCTTTGAAAAAAGCTATGTTATACATACACTAGTGGTCAGAGTCGGAAAAAACATGACAAATTTGTAAATCTAAAATTCTAATTTCTATGCTCATGATATGAAGGGTTTATTCATAAATGTCTTAACCTGATCAAAAGTTTGCTGTTTCTAAAGAGACCTTAGTTTTTTTACCCCTTTGAGGCATGAGCTTTTGACCCTCCATAAAAGGGCCTTGATCACATGACATACTGTCAATGTGGCCTAAACCAACATTACACAAGCACCAATAATAAACCCATTTCACCATGTCTTAACTTGTTTTATCACTAGTAGAAGAACATGGGAGGGAATTCGTTATCTTGTTACCTGGAGTTCTTTGAATTTTTCCCAGAAGCTCAGCTGTGTTGGTTGAGTTGGTATCAAGTTTCCTTTATTGGATGCTTTCTCAGCAGTCTCACCACCTAAGAGAGGGAGAAAGTCTTTTACTACAACGAATAATGTATGCCACTGGAAAATTTAGATTAAAAAATATTAGCAATGGGGAAGGGTTCTATGCTAACAAAAGATATCACCAAATTGAAATTATTGATGTCATTGAAAAATTTGGATAAAAGGTGGTGAAAAATCTAACCCCTTTTTCTCAAAAAAAAAAAGACTGTGACAGAGAGAGGGAGAGTCACAATCAGCATTTGCCAGCCAATAGTTTACATAAAAGAAGAGGGCAAACCTGTGCCTTAATGTTAATATCCCTTACTTTTGGTATATCTGTGTTCCTCAGCATTCCACATAGCAGTCTCCTGACCTATGTTAGTGTCGGTAACAACCTCGTTCTGTGAGAACCCCCACTCAGGCAAGATCTTACCACTGGTCTGGAAGTCAATGAAATTAATAAATTGACATTTTTGACTTTTGACAATATAAATAATACCAGTCCTGTGTGACATCAAGTTAGAAATTTTACCTTTTAAATCAGTTAAATATATTCTTATATTACTGTAATAGCCATCATGGATACAAAATAACAATAATAATAATGTTATTAATATTATGCATTCAAAATTTACAATTTAAGCTTCTTCAAACTACAGCTCAATTCAGAAAATCACCATTTTAGTATCTCACAAGACACCATTCTCAGGTAATGAGGGAATTGCCAGACACTGAAACACTTGGAGCCAATGTGATTATAACTCTGGAGTTAAACGGTTATCTGAATAAACTATTGTTACAACTTTAAGGTATATCTCACCTTGAGGACCTGTGATGTGTTGAGATGAATGAATCTCACTTGTGAGGTTATGATCTTCCATGTGTCTCCTTCTGAGTCCCTGTTAATGATGTCCTATAACATAATATAATATAGCATATATAAACAGGAAACACCAAAATCAGCATGTGCAAAAGACAATAACTATAGATGAAAATAGCACTCATGTTATTGATAAAAAGCTACTTAGACTAAAATTCACATAAATAAACAATGATTATACAGTTATATGAAATTATGGTCAATATTTCTATTTTCAGTAGGAATATAGCCTTTGATTGTCCCCATCCCCCCTCCCTCCCTGAGACTCACCACTTTCCACCAATTCTGTGGTGGCACCCGTCCATTAGTGAAGTTGAAGTCAATGTAACAGGAAACCTCTTGATGGTGGTTTGAAACTGGGGCACCAACATCATGGCTATAAGATAAATTATCATCAAATTCAAATACAAAATAGATTTTATAAAGTGGGTCTTACTGTGTCTATGTGGAAGAATTGGAATTTCCAGCCATGTATGACTTGCAATAACAGGGTATCAATATCACGATGTAAATGTACAGCAAAATATTTTCAACCATGTCTATCTTGTTATTTATAAACATTAATGATACAAAAATCTGTTTACAAGGTACTGTTCTGGATAAAAGATACAGTTACTGTAATATTTGATATTGAAAAGGATGAGTGCGAATAACCATTGGCAAAGTGCCCATCCTCAAATTTTTTTAATAATTTGCTATTATAAAGTTTAGGCATATATTTGTTGCATGGAAAAATATTATTTGGTTTGAGGCATTATAACTTAGTATTTTTAATGAATTATA